CCTAAAGCCCACTTAATATGCCAGGAAGGACATATGCCAGACATTTTTGAAGTCTGAGCCATCACACATAAAGATAGCACCTTTCTTATACCATCATTTCAAAGCTGGTAGTACACAAAGCTATGAATAGTATTAATAACAACTTAAAGATTAACTGTGTAGACACAATTAATGGTTAATTTATTCTAAATTGTATTTATCACATTGTTTGGTGAAACATTTGTTAATAAGACAGTTATTTGTGAAATAATTGTTCAAATAAATTGCATTCAATTTGTGTTTCTAATCAGCCAGTTACACAATGTAACATGAAGAGGTCAACCGGAACTATATCAAATACATGATGTATCATTAGTACAGAGATTAGTCACAATTATGTACCTAATCCACGTTATCTGTATATGACACCACCATTGCTGTTCTTTTAAATGCTAAAGGACAACAAAATATATGTAGGAAAGCTTCTCTAGCTTTCTCTGGGGACAAATTATTATAATATTTGCTCATGCTCAGAAAGTCAAAGGATTTGGACTTTGCATTAGCCATTTGTTTAAAGAAAGGTTGTTTGCAATCTAAATATAAACTTAACTTCAGCACTTTCCATGTCTATTCATTGACTCATACTTGAGTCCATTTATGTGATAAACATGCACAGCTAATAATCAATGATATGGTGGCTGTGTGTACAGAACAAATAAGAGAAGAAACAAATATTCCATGTCTGTACTCACATATCCAAAACAGAATATAATGATGATCAAATATATGTGCTTTAAGGAAGAGTCCTTAAAGGTCATTTATATTAACTTTTTATGCAATTCTATTAGACAAAAAAATCACCTCCCATTGCCACCATGCCTGTTTATTTCAGCATATATACTTACTGCAAGCATTTGTTCTCAAACCTAGCATTCATGTTCTCAAAACTTGAGATAAATGGAAGATTAAAATCACCTCTTTTTAATTTTCTTAACTGGGATATGCGTGGGCCTTCTTTTCACAAAGTCTTTCTCATCTTTTTTCTTTTTCCTCATCACTCTTACCCAGGGGAGCTGGGTATATAGCACTCAGTATCTGCTCTTTTCCAAAACAGAGAACGCAGATTCCTCTCAATAGTGAGAAAAAGTTCCTTATCCCATGACCAAGCAAAACAAAAAAAAAAAAACCAAACCTGGGGTTTTACCTAATTGAAGAATTACCATGTGAGAGGTCCAGGGACTTAGCAGGCCAAAAACTTGCACTGCATCTTCCAAAACTTATGACTCCTTCTGTGATTTGCCCTCCAAAAAGACCAAAATTTCCTATATTCAAATGATTTTTCAGCAGCAGCCATCTCACCTTTCAAGTTCTACCCTGCAACCCCAAATGTGTGGGATTGCGAATCTGTTATTTCAAAACTCAAAAGCACTAATTTGCACCTCTTTTGTTTTCTCCTCATCTTAAACATGAAAGACTATGTATGGAAAGGTTTGTATTTATCTTTTGGAAGCATGTTTTTCTCTGCTGGGTTTATAATACTACCTGGCTGCAATGGGTACACCCACTCCTGTCCCTCTGCCAAGACCTGCACCAGGGGCTCTGCCACGCACCTGCTGCCAGGTGGGAAAAGCACAGGAGGGCACACACAGACTGCTCATCTCAGACTCTCTTGATTTGCTGGAAAAATCCAATGTCATCCTTAAAGAACAACAGTTTCTATGAGATTCATACTGGCATAAAATATTTTAAACACTTGGAGATTTTGAGTGCTACAGGACCTCCATCCAGCCCTCCTGCAGTAGAGCCTACCTCATACCAGAGGAAAACCACAAGTCCCTGTAACCTCACATTTTCCTCTATATCTTCCCCACCTGCCTTCCTCATTTGAGTGATACTGCTGACTCTGAATAGCTCATTAAGACAATTAAGCCTGCTCTAGGTGGGAGTTCAGCATCCCCCTGGCCAACTCTGCCACCATCAGCCTACCCCTAACAGTTCCCTCCTCCTCAAGTTTTCCTCCTCCATCTGTTTCAGAGGCTGATTTCACCTCAGTTTTTTAAAACCAGATCTTTCTGTGCTTACAGTCACCTGGCAAATGGCAGGGCCTAGTCTTCACATATATTTTCTGAATGGCTGGCTAGCCCAAGAAGAATAAGAATGATGATGATGATAATAATAATCTAATTATTCAGCGGAAGTTACACCCATCTGTTGGAGGCAGGGCAGCAATTTCAGCAGTGGCAGTCCTGCTGCAGAAGTAGGCAGAACGCAATCTCTTCTGCAGAGCCCTAGTGAAGAGCCAACCAGGCTCAATGAGACCTTGAGGACCTGAGCACATCAAAATTAGATTTTTATGCAGTGGCAGTGTCTACATTGCAGCTGTCAGCAGCACACAGCAGTTGCTGCAGCCAGTGCTGGACCTCCCGACTTTCAGCATCCCTATTTTGGCCAGCCTGGCTCCCTCTCTGCCCTCCTGCCGTCCTACACACTCGAGGCAATTCAGCCAAGAGTGCAAGGGGAGAGTTGGAGATTTACACCAAGGCATAAGGAAGTTGCCCTGTGGTGTAATTTCATTCTCTAAGGGAAATCTTGAAAGCACAGCTATAGCCCTCCCACACGTCAATTCGGCTGCAAGCAGATTCTGAAAATCCATGTACATGCACCAAAGCATAAAGACTCTGCCTCCTCCGATAAATCAGCTGGAGAGGAGGGGTCACCCTGTTAGGGTACCGCTCCTGAGGGGGAAATCGTCCTCCCTGCGGGGCCGTTTTGGGAGGCGGGGAGGAGAGTGATGGGGCACTCCCAGTGCAGCTCCCGGACTAGAGGGGATTCCTGCCGGGACACGGAGCCCCGAATGCTCAGGGGCTGTCCGGACGCTTAGGGCCTGTCATGACATTTGGGGGCTGTCAGGGTACTCGGGGGCTGTCAGAACGCTCAGGGGATGTCAGGACGCTCAGGGGCCGTCAGGACACTCGGGGCCTGTCCGGACGCTCTGGGCCTGTCGGGACACTCGGGGCCTGTCAGGGTACTCGGGGCCTGTCCGGGGGCCGCCCCCGCGGGCGAAGGAATAGCGGGGCTGTGGAGATGCGGGCGGCCCGCGAGCAGCCAGGGGCTGACAGGACACCGGCACATGGTACAACCTGTCATGGTGCTGGGGCACAGCTCTGACGAGTTTGTCTGAGCCCCCACAGCGAACCAGGGCACTCCCGGCTTGCCGTGCCAGCCTGAAATTCCCGTGCCATGGCAAGCCAGGGACAGATCCTGCCAGATGCCCAGCTGTGCTTTCAGCAGGTCCGCTGGGGTGCTTCGTTTCGACTCGGATCATCTGAGGTAGAATTCCGTGATGATGTTCACGCTTTAGAGATTAAAGAAGAGGGAAACGACTGGTAATCTCAAATGATCATAGAAAACCGTAGTGTTTCTGGAGCTAAAACCACTCCACTCTAGCTGCCTTAGGGTTCCTTTTTTCATAGCATTACAACATTACAATGCACAAACTTCTGTCTTTGTTGCTCCCCGTTCACCCAAAGCAGGTGCTTGGACTTAACTGGAAAGCATAAACTGCAAAAAATACAGAGAGGGACTGGTATGGGGGAAATAGACATAAAAATGTGCAGAATAGTTAGAACAAAAGTGATAACATCTCTGCTGATACTCATCCTTACTGAGGAAATGACACCCCATATTAAATAGAGTAAAATAAATTTTCTTTAAAGGGAAATTGCAGTTTACTGACTATAGCAGGGTGCTTACCAAAATGTCTTTTTTCATGCAGGCGCAATGTCCCGTCTTAGAGCACGAAGCCTGTTATCACATTACATAACAAAGGGATTATGCCCTAGAAAGTGCTGGTGCTGTGACCTGAAGCACCTTTCCCACTCCACCAGCAGCCCCTCCACACATGACCAGAGCCATGGTCGAGTCACTTCATTTTGGAAAGCACTCCTTAAACTGGGCTACCAAACCACTTGCCACCTGTGCACGCACCAAAGCCATGATGGCAAGATCACGATGCTGCCATCATTTCTTTTAGGAAAGGGGAAAGTTGTGCATCTCACGTGTTTCCAATATCTACATTTGTCTCCAGGGAGAGAAAAAAAAAATAAAGCAGAATTGAGGAATATTCAGTCCCAAGGATCAACGAAGGACCACAGGCCCCACTGGTCCTATGATCCTAATGAAGCATCAGTGCTGCTGGCAACAGCTACTGCCATGTCCAGAGGGGATAGTAATAACTACCATGAAAACACTTAAAAACAGTCCAGCCAAGCTCCCCTTCCCTCACTGGGCCTCTGTGTTTCAGTGCAAGCAGGATAGCTAGGGCACAACCCAGCCATTCCAAAATGCGGGGAGATGTATTGAAATATATGGTATCTCAGCACTTACTCTGATTTTTTTTTTCCTATTTAATTTTAATATTTTTTAAGTTCAACTGACCCTTCTGGTCACCAACTTTCTTTGTGGTTCACTGTAAGGATCGCTCTCCAAGAACAAAAAAGAAATCTCCAAGCTTTGATAGAGACTCTGGATGAAATTAAGAACTTCAAACCCCAGATTTTTGAAAAGAAAAACAGATGTCCTGTTTGTTGAGTATAAATAACTCCGTACGTGGAAGCCTTTTCTTTTACGCTGCATTAAATTTTATTTAATGCTGGGTGCATTTAAACTAAAAAAAAAAAAAAAAAAAAAAAAAAAAGGGGGGGGCAGCAAAATATGTGGGTGACAAACCTCTAAATCTTTCCTCTCTCGAAAGAGAAAGAAACAGGCAGACGGGAAACCCTTCATCTCGATGAAAGCGCACAATGTGTTTCCTAGCAGACCTGGCGAGCCTGCCCTGGTCAGTGCGACGGCGAGGGGAGGGAGGAGAGGAGGCGGCGGCAGTGAGGGAGGGAGGGAGGGAGGGAAGGAGGAAGGCAGGGAGGGAGGAGCGGCCCCGGCCGGGCAGAGCGGGGTGCGCCCGCAGGTGCCCTCCCGGTGCTCGGTCCCGGCCCCGCCGCAGGAGCGGCCCCGGGCTGACTTACGTGAGCACGTAGTTAACGCTGACGATGCAGTGCGGGCGGGAGGAGCGGCTGTTGTGCACGATGGTGGCGTAGCTCTGCACCCACACCCAGCCGCCGTGCTTGGCCAGGAAGCGGTAGTACTTGGTGGTCACTTGGCCCTTCACCAGCACTGCGGGGGCAAAGCGAGGAGAGCCTCAGCGTGGCTCCCGCCTGCGGTTTGATCAGCCCCGGGAGGAGGCGCGCCCTCCCCCAGGAGCCCTGTGGCCGACCAGAGGGGTTAGGAACCTCTCAGCGGTACATACGGACAAGGGTGGTGCAGCCCCCAGGCAGGGCTTATCTCAGTGCCTGAGATGGTTATCACAGGCTAATAGGGGAGATTGGTAGGGCCGGGGGGATTGTGTGTGTGTGGTCATCTATGGCAACTGAACCCCGCATACCCCCATCCTGAAGTATCATCATGGAGATTTTGTTCTATAAATCTGTCCTTGGGTTTTATCTCTTCTCGTTATGTTCTCTGTAAGGAAACTTACCGGAAATTGGTATCCTTTCTATTTATCTATCCGTGTATTAATGTCATTGTGATATCAAAATAGAATAAAGTACATCTCGCCGGATCAGGCTCACTACTGCAGTCGAAATTAGATATACAGATAAGGTTTGTGAGACTTGGTGGAAGTGAAATAAAAGTATTGATATTTCACTGCTATGGCTTTTTAGAGCAGGAAAAAAGGGTTTTCCTAACACGAATTTGAAGAGACAATAGCGCCTGAGATTTGTGCAGGGCAGTTCTTGTCCTACAACCAAAAGAAAAGGATGGAAAATATCCTTTCATTCCCAATGCCCTCCGTTTGTCACCTGCGTCTAGAGTTCAGTCTCCATCTAACCTTGTTTCACTAAAACCCGAAGAAGATTTTGCTTATTCTGCCCTCCAGAGAGCTGGATTTTCACGTGCCGACCTAGAGGTAAATCCCAGCACCTGCAAAGTCCTTCTGCAAAGGGACAGGATGGGGGCGGGGTTTTAAACAAGAAGACCATCTCCTTACACAAGTGATGTGCACAACGCAGGTGAAAGGTGTCACAGCCATGGACGTGATGGTAAAGGGTCTTCTCTATCAGGTCCTGGGGCTCATAACCTGTTAGCTCAGCTACCCTGCAAGAGACATAAGCAGCAAATATAAGTGGGTGAGAGGAGAGGAGGCCTGGGGAAGAAGGGACGGGCTAGGGGAATAGATTTGGAAATAACCCAAGCTCTACCTGGAATCTAAGAATATGAGCTTCATGTCTAGGCTGGCCCGAAACATGAACATATTGCTGTGGAGCTTGATCTCCGTCACGGCGCTGGGCGGCAGCGAGTGGCCCACGGCGACCAAGCCAACGTTTTGGTAGCAGCCGTCGAAGGGAGACATGTCCAGGCTGTACTGGCGGATCTTCAGGTACCCGCTGCAGTGAATCACCTGCCGGAGACACAGGAAAGCTTGGCAGCTATTCAGCAAGGGGGAAGGGCGTGCTGATCCCTCCCCATGAAGAGTGCAGAGACAATTCCCCCCATCCCGGTGAGGTGCGGATGCGGGACTCGCGGGAGCCGCTGACCCGCGTCTCTGCCCTGGCAAAACGGCACCGTCTGGGAGTTTTCTACGGTTCTGTCGGGGTTGAATTTAATTTTTTTTCCCCCATAGTAGAGTTCAGCATCGATCTAAGGCCCATTAGAGCCAACAAGATTTTTTTTTTTCACTGGCTTAAGTGGTTTTTGGCCCACCTCCTAACTGCGCTTTTATTGCTCTTCTGAAAAGGAGAGACGCGGAACTGCCAATCCAGTTACGACTTTGTAATGAAGAGTGTATGCGCGTGAGAAAGGGCTTACATGTGTGCATCTGTCACATGTGTAAGATGCCTCTGTTATATGGATGGAGCAGGCGCAATCCACCGCCAAAAAGCACCTTTGATTTAAGTATATCTCCTAAACGTATCCTTGCAGACAACTGCAGTCCACTTCTATTCTTACTTCTCTATTACTAAGATGTTTCTTCTTGGGGTTCAGCAGGTGTTCTTGGTCTATGGTATATCGTGACACGACATCTCCTTGGGTTATGGGTGGAACTACTTCCTCGGCGTTGTGTGGCTGACAAAGCAGCGAGGAGTTGAGAGACAGCGCAGGGCTCTCCTTACTGAGGAGCCCCGAGCAGAATCCTGTGAAGCACCTGGTCAAAACCCTTGACTGGGAGAGCTGCCTCTGCAGCTGACGGATTACCTGATTAAGAAATAAATTAACCAGGGCTCCGTTTTTATCACCTGAAAGCTGTCGCTGTGAACATCAGAGGTTGTGCGAGGTTCAGTTCAAACAGTAAAATAATAATTAAAAAAAAAAAAAAAAGATAAAAAAAGCCCACAAACAAACACCAAGGGGAGATCGATTGCTTGGCTTTGGTGGTTTGTGCTCTTCAGCCTGAAACTCTGAGAGAAATGGACCACATGAAAGAGCCCTGGGCTGGGAAAACCCCCGCGAGAAGAGGTCTCACTCCCTCTTCTCTCCCCATTTTCGCAGCCTTCCCGGCACAGGGACACGGGCAGGCTGGTGCAGGGGGACACGGGGAATCTGGCCGCGGGCACACACCTTGTAGCCACCGCAGGTGAGGCCCGCGTTCCTCTTGGCCAGGACGCACTTCATCCTCAGGAAAAAGGATCTCTCGATCTCGTACTCTGGGAAGGGTGAAAGGCAGAGGACGGGTGAGCCAGAGGCTCCGCGGGCTCTGCGCGGTTCCCTACGCGGCCGCGGGGGCAGGGGCTGTGGGCTTTACCCTGCACGAAGTGCGAGTGGTAAGGCTGGTGTGCCGTCAGCACCGCCGTCATCTCGTCGTGGTCGGCGGGGTGGATGTACTCGTAAATGCTGTTGCCGGTCAGCTCTACCTGTGAGAGAGGAGGAGGAGGAGTAGGGGGGCTCACGGCCGGTCCCGCGCACCCTCTCCTGTCAGTCGCGGGGGTGGCAGCACAGGGGCCAGCAGGCCCCCCAGCGTACCTGCGACAAGCCCAGGTGCACCGAGGCAGTCTCCGAGATGTACATGATCTTGCCATCCGGAGCCACAACAAATATGAAACCGTCCAAAGTCTGCAGAAAAGGGTAGGGAATAGAAATAAATTAATAGACCCATTATATACCTGAACCTCTGATTTATTTTAGCAAACAAGCATCGATATTCAGGCTCTGATTATTCAAAAAGTTGGAAGGAAATGGGCAAATCTTAGACAAGGATCCCTCTAAAGCTCCTGGACCCCTGAGACACAACCCACTTCTCAGAGGGGTCGAGCTCAAAAGTAACGCCTTGAAAGGGCCTTGAAAGTATCTAAGAAGAGGTCCTGGCTATCTGGTTATTAACATGTGGGTCCCAGAAATCCCGAATTCTTCTATCCTATTTCAAATGTCACGGAGGTTTAGTACTTGCCTATTTTATAAGGAGAATTTAGGCGATCAAAGAGAATTTAAAACTCTCCACAGTGTAAAATAAGACAATTAGTCAGGTACATTTCAGCAGACACAGACGGGACTTCTGGGTTTAGCAAGAGCAGAATAGGCACTTCAAAGGCCACACGGTTCCACCAGAAATACGTGGTGATGGTCATCACTAATATTCTTTAGTATTTCAGAGCGCTGTGAGTTTTCAGATCCGTCCTCCCTGATTTGTGTCTCTGCTAATGTCGGTGCCCGCTGAGCCCTTCTGTCCCGGACAGCCGTCCCTAACCTGTCGCTAGAGCCTCTCTCTGCCACACCCCTCTGGGCTTCACAACACTGATGAGATGTGTCACCTTGTTAATAAACTGGGGACAGTCGTGCCTGTGTCTCTGGCACCCTGCTACACACTGCAGATCCCTCTCTGTGGACGCAGTGTTAGATGATTCTGAGGCAAAGGACCCAGAGGGACCAAGCCACCAATAAGACACACGACACTGAATCACAGTGGTTCGCATTTCTGAAGTGGTTCCCCTCCTGCCTACTTTTCTATTAAACACTTGAACGGTTAAAAATTAGTCAAGGTGGCAATTGAAAGCTCAGAAGAGGGAATTATTTCTTTAATCATTAATACCATATGCCTGTCATTTCCAGACCAGTACCTGCAAAAGGTGGGATCCCAGTTCCCGTCCAACATTGTCCAGTGGGCTGGTTCGACTGGAGTGGCCCCAAGCTTCTCCAAGTCCTGTTATTTAAAAAAGAAAAACAAAACAGAAAAGTAAGGTCAGGAGATGAAAAATTGGCTCGTGTGGGTCTGATGGGGCTGCGGGGGGGGAGGACATTTTTTCCTTGTGTACACTCTAAAACATACATACATACAATCTTTGGAAAACTAGATGTGACTTCATTGCAGATAAAAGCCTCATTTGTGCTTTTTCTTTTTTTCAATATCTAATTCCTCAGAGAGAAAAATACCTGAATAGTTATTTTGAGTTAACGGTAAAGTTAACTTTTAAGACCTAAGTATAACAGCATGCCAGATCCAAGTGCTTTTCAGTGCTGATTTCGGCTACTGGGAATTGTTCCCCTTGAACTTCAGGGGAAGCATTCTAACCTCACGGTTTTTCGTCACTGTCCAACGGCACGGACCGCCCTCCCTCCTGCCCCACCAAGTCTGCCTCCAGGATTCACCTCCATCCCTTCCATCTCTCCTCCTGCTGCTCCGGTGGGCGGGATGGCTCCCGCTGCAGGGAGGGGTGATGTGCCTCCATAGAGCCTATTCCAGAAATTAATCTTTCCGGATTTGACTTATGTTTTACACTCGTCTTGTTTTCTCCTATGCAAAGTGAGCAGTAATAAAAGTCACGTGGAAGTTACTTCAGGGGAGTAAAGCTATTCATGGACGATGTCTTTTCACGGTGTTGCTGAAATAATTTAAACTGGTCACTTAAAACCTTTGAGGCTTGTGCCATGAAATAAGTCTCACTCCGACACGCACTAGCAGTAAGATAGAGCAAAACGGAGGGGAAACCTACAAATCCCGATCGATGGCTGGGGTGCAGGTAGCAAGGGGACCCGAACCGGCGGGATGTTCTCACTCTAGCAGTGCGGGTTCGGGCAAAACAAGACCTCGTTTTCCAGTTATTTCGAGGCAAACAGACGAGGGGCTGGCAGCAGGCAGCCGCGGGCATCCCTCGCTATTGACCGGCCTCACCCG